GAGAGAGAGAGAGAGAGAGAGAGAAAGAGAGAGAGCGCTGTCACCCGCCAAAAACAACGCGGGAGGAAACACAGAGAGGGAGAGAGAGAGAGAGAGAGAGAGAGAGAGAGAGAGCAGACGTCATAAGACGCCATCAGCGACTGTTGCTACGCCGTGGCTGGGTCCACTTGTTATGACAAAAAGAAAGGGGGCGATAGGATCTCCCTGTCTCACAGAACGTTCTAACTCAATAGGTGAAGCCAAATTCCCATTTATCATTACCCTCGTTGTAGCATTCGAATGTAGAATCTCGATCCATTCTCTGAAGCAAGGACCGAAATTGAAGTTTTCTAAACATTTATCTAAGAAAAAACAATCAACATGATCATAGGCTTTTTCAAAATCTATGAAAATGACCCTTCATGCCATCCGGTCAGGTTTCAGAGAGTTTCGCGCGATGTGGTGACCCACGTCGGGACCGAAGTAAAGAGATTGAAGGAAGGCGCAGAGAAGTTCTGCGTCGACGCCATTGAGGGCGCCAAAGTAGTGGCCACAGCAGAGGCTGCGTCGCGTCCCCCCGCAAAGAGCCTGTCAAGCTCAAATTTCTTGACGCTTATAGCAAGAAAAAAGACGATAGTTTCGATAATTGGGAGGCTAGCATTAATACATACGTCTATTTACAACATATTGCCCCAGAGGAACAAGTCGTCGTAGCCTTCCACGCATTGAAGGACGAAGCGGCCAGCTTCACCAGGTCCCTTGCGCGCACCGCTGATTGTGAACACAATATGATTGCAAATTCTAGGTTCACCCCTCTCTCCACTTTCCACAAACTCCTGCGTGAGAGGTTCGCTGACGTCACAAGGGGCGTCAGGGCATCTGACAAGCTCTAAACCATCCACTCGCGACACTGGAGGAGTGCGCGAGCACTCAAAGATGTCATGGACGACTTGGTAGCCGTCCCAGACCACGGGGTCACTAAGACCCAGTTGGTCCAATTATTCTATTGTGCCATGCCAGAACCCTTGCGAGGGCATTTCTTTGACAAGACCCAACAGGCCAACATCACGTACGATGTGTTGAGTCGAGAAGTGGTCCTGTTTGAGGCCAAGTCCATGCCAGTTTCCACTTTCTGGCATAAGGAATTAGATAAGGGAAAGAAGTGGAAGGGTCGTACCATCTCAAGCCAGGTCAGGGCGAAGGATCATTTGATCCTTACTTTAGACGAAGGTGGTACAGACGAAGTCCCCTACAGTCAGATCGAGTGGGGGTTAGAGGAGGAGGATAGTAGTGTAGGCCAAGGGAGGACCTATGCTGTTGTCACGGCTGGAGGGAGGCCGCAAGGTAGAGGAGGAGGCCAGGGCCAAAGGGGCCAGGCCACGGGTGGTAGAGGACCGGGTGCACAGGGGGTTGGCGGCCAAAGGATCGCCAAGAGGGAGGTAGGGGTCAAGGTCCCCCACCAAATCGTCAAGGTCCTTGTCGGTCCCCGCAACGACGAGGTGGAGGATCACCTCAGAGGAGAGGAGGTTGGCACCCAGGTTGGCCGCAGGGCCGGCCTTGGGAAGATTTGGGCCTGGACCAGCGAGTATGGCAGCAACGTATGGACGAGGGTCAGTGTGCATCCACTGTGGTGACCCGGCCCATATTATTAAATATTGTCCTAAGTACAGACAGACCCGATGGGCTGCCCAGGAGTCAAAAGGCAGCCGCCGATAGGGGTTGCAACTGCCCCTACTACTAGGCCATGTGGGAAAGCGAGCACGTGCGTACAGGAAACTCCCACACCACATGAGCCTTCGGGAGAGATTGCAGGCCCGTGCCTAGTTAGCTTTCCAGAGACTGCTTGCGTCAGCGTCTCTCTAGGCACTTCCCTCACAGGCGTGGCAGAGGAGTTGAAGGAGAGAATGCCTGCCTGGGCCAAAATAAAGAAAGATAGTAAAGGACAACTAGTGTTAGTTGACATGGAGGTTTTTAGAAGTAGAGTAGGGGCCCTTATAGATTCAGGGGCTACTCGTAGTTATATTAGCCGCAAAGCGCTGAAGAAGCTAAGGCTAGGGTTGGAAGTCCAGAAGTTGGAAGACCCATAGTTAGTATCCTCGCAGACAACCGCACTATGCGTGTTGAGGACTACGTAAAAAGGAGTCCAGGCGTATTTTCGCCTAGAGAAAGATGGGAATGTGGAGAAAGTTCTCAATTCCCTGACTCTCCTCGTACAGGATGACCTTCCTTTTGATATAGTCCTAGGCATGGACTGGGGAGAGGCAGCAGGGGCCACACTCCACTTGAGAGAGCATGAGTGTAGGCTCCCTAGTCCGTCACGCGAGGTTAAGACTGCCCACCTGTTTCATGTGTCTGGAGTAGATAACTCCTTGGCACATTGTTGTCTCAGTGCTACCGCGTTCGCTTGATTGGTGAGAAAGGAGCAGTTAGAGGAGCAGGTCTTAGTAGCCTATGTGAAGCCTGTCACTGAGCCTAAGGAAGACACACCCATAGACCCAACTATTGCCAAGCTGCTGGAATTTGACAGAGCCGCCGACAGGAGTAGTGTCACGGCCAATCCAGCATTGGATAGAGATAGAGCCTGGCAGTAGGACTCCTAAGGGAGCAATTACAGGATGTCCCCTAGGGAGTTAGAAGAGTTGCGCAAGCAGTTGGATGAGCTACTTGAGAAAGGTTGGATCAGGCCCAGTTAATCTCCTTTCGGAACACCAGTACTATATGTCCCCCAAAAGGAAGGAGAATTGCGTATGTGGATAGACTATCGGGGTCTGAATGCGATCACAGTAAAGCACGTTGAGCCATTGCCTAGGATAGACGATCTTTTAGATCGGGTGTAGGGTTGCAATTTGTCGTAGTGTATTTAGATGACATCTTAATGTTCAATAGGACCCTCCAAGAGCACGAGGGCCATTTGAGGCAGGTCTTGGAGAAACTGAGAGAGGCTAACTTCAAGATCAACGCGAAGAAGTGTGGGTGGGCCAAGACACAAGTCTTATACTTGGGCCACGTGTTAGACGAAGATGGCATTAAACCTGAGGACAGCAAGATAGCGACAATTAGAGATTGGCCGAGTTACGTTCGTTCCTAGGTCTGGCTAACTATTATAGGAAGTTTGTGAGGAACTTCTTGACTATCACCGCTCCCCTCCGCAGGTTGCTCAAGAAAGAGGCAATCTGGTTGTGGGACAAAGACTGTACGTCTGCGCTCATAGTTAAAGCGCACGCTGATAGAATATCCTGTCCTCAAAGTAGCATATCCGTCTTTGTCATTTGTCATCACCACGGACGCAAGTCAGTATGGGATAGGCGTCGTGTTACAGCAGGACGGCGGCAATGGCTATAGACCCGTAGAATTCATGTCAGCGAGGATGCCCTCTGAGAAGGGCGCTACCTCGCCGTACGAGAGGGAACTCTACACTCTCAAGCAGGCCTTAGAGCACTAAAAGCATTACCTACTTGGGAGGCACTTCAAAGTGTATTCAGACCACGAGACTTTGAGGTGGCTGAAGACAGGCCAAAATGACACCTAAGTTGACTAGGTGGGCCGCTGAGATAGACCAGTACGACTTCGAGCTCAAGCCTGTCAAAGGCAAGTACAACGTAGTTGCGGATGCTCTAAGTAGGAGGTCAAACTACTTTGGACATAGGGAATGACCTGCAGGAGAAATTTACAAAGGCGTATGCGCAGGACCCTATTTATAGTGACCTCCTCAAGAGAGTCAAGGAAGCCCCAGAGACTGAACCAGACTACCACACTATAGAGGGACTATTGTTTGAGAAGACTAACGTAGTAGACTGTCTGTGCATCCCTAACAGTGAGGAGATTCGTAGTTTGATCCTAGGGCAATGCCACGATACAGAGGGACATTTTGGTTGGCAAAACACTCAAGCCAATCTGATGCATGCGTACACTTGGCCAGGAATGAAAGCTGACTGCAGAGAGTATGTCCGCAATTGCAACGTATGCCAAAGAAACAAGAGTACGACGAGTGCCCCTCTAGGTCTTCTCAGACCCTTGCCCATTCCTGATCAGCCTGGAGATTCAGTATCCGTTGACTTTATGGACGCCGACGTCAAGAGCAGGCACGGCAAGAGTCAAGTCATGGTCATAGTTGATAGATTTATCAAGTATGCAGTTTTTGTTCCTTTTACTGCAGAGGCACATACTGAGTTAGTAATTTAGAAGTTTTTTTATTTTTGAGTTAGTGAGCATGGCGTCCCATTGTCTATTGTTAGTGATAGAGATGCTCGCTTCACGAGTCAAAACTGGCAGGAACTCATGAAAGTTTATGGGTCAGAGTTGTTGCTGTCATCTGGCCGCCATCCAGAGACTAACGGTCAGACTGAGCAGATGAACAAGATCCTGCAGCAAGTTCTGGGCATGTACATTAGACCAGATCAAGTCAACTGGGACGAGATGTTGCCCAAGGTAGCCAGTGCGTACAATAACAACGTGCACTTGTCCACCTGTCGCACTCCCAACGAGTTGCACAAATCCTTTAGACCGCGTAGTCCTTTTGAGGGACTTAACCGGGATCAGATTCACAGGCTACCGCGCGGTACCAGGGAGTTTGCGATACAGCACGAGAAAGAGCTAGCTACGGCGTCTACCGGTCGCCTTACCTTTCTGAGCTACAACAGCAACAACTCCACCCCCTAAAGCTTCAATGCTGCCAGCCTCTGAACCTACTCCCTCCCGAAAGTTATCGTCTAATTCGATGGTTGAACCATCGTTATCGACAAACATTATGCGACCCTTCGCCTCAAGGTCTAGGGCCTTTTTGCTAAACGAGGGAAAGTTGTGAACATTGATGTTGGCCTCGCCTGCCAACTGATTCCTGAGAGGCATAGGAAAGCATCTCAGGTAGGAGGTGAGTAAAACTTGGGGGTCACAGTGCACCCCAGGGACACAGATCAGACGCTCAACAGTGTCGGTGGCCTCCCTCACTGACTTGAACTGCCTCATGTGCAATGTCTGGATCGCATTAGTGGCCTTTTGGGCCTCCTGAGGATCATGCCACCTTTCTTCCACCAACTTAACGAAGTCATCCAATTGCTGGGTGACCGCCCAAGCGCGAAAGTCATGACCGTATCCCTGCAGCTGTACTAAACCACTCAACCATCTTGTTGCACTACCCTCTAGGTAAGATGCAGCCACAAGCACTTCCTCGTGCGGCAAGGTGAGCTTACACTTGACATAGACCAGCATTGCCCTCAACCAAGTGTCGAGGTCTTTGCCCCTCTTATCCCCTGTGAAGGGTTTAGGAGCGACGATGGCCGTCTTTGGTACCCACTGAGTTTGTCCCGGTCCCTGCATCCCACTGGGTTGTGGACCGTGTGATACAGGCGGCTGCACTGGCTGCAGGGCCTGTGTACCCTGTGGCTGTACAGGCTGTGAGACAGCAGGTTGCGTTGTAATTGCAATCTGCAACGACGGTTGGGAATACACTGGTTGTACAGGAACCTGCAAACTAGGACCTGATGAGAGCCCTCCTGATAACTGCATACCTAGGGAAACGATAGCAACCGATGATGGGGCTACATATGGGGATACCCCAGTCACCAGTGGGACAAAAGGAGGAGGATGTGCAACGGGCCAGGCACCTGGCCCGGACGGTGATGGTGACGCCCGCATCCGCCCGACTAACACAGCCAGACTTTGCTGGATGTCCTGTAAGATCTCTGTCTGGTGATCCTGTATTTCCACTACACTTAACGGGACCGACCAAATGGTTCTCACATCATCATCATCCATTTGTGTTGGGTCCATATCCTCTAACTCACTGACGTCCTCTTGCCTCCGCTGCATCCTGGCTCTTCTCCTAATCATTCTCTCTTTCTTAGCCTTAATCTCTCCTAAAGCCTGCTGTAGTTATGCCTTGCGAGCAGCAGCTCGCTGTATGGCGACCTCCTGGGGAGTCGTCACTAATGGCTGGCTTGCCATTACGCTAGTGGACTGACTCAAAGCCTACACAATCGTTGATCCTATAGAGCCTGTTGACCCTACAAAGCCGGTAGACCCTGCAGAGCTTGTTGACCCTGACGATGCTGAACTACCTGCCTGAGAAGTCTGTTGCACAGAGGTAGCCATTGCTTTTGAAGTTGCGGCTTCACTCACGAGCGCCCTGCTAGCCTCCACTGCTCTAGCCCTCCTCTGCTGCTGCTGCCTCTCTCAGCTGGCAGAACAAATGTCGGTCACCCTCTGGTCCTAAAGCCAAGTGGGTGATCGGACATCTACGTGAACGCTACAGCCGGTCGTCCTCTCCAGTGTCCTCCCTGTCACTCATATGCTACAACACTGCACACAATCTGCACTAGTGCACTCTAGATGCCTACTGCAGTGTAATGCACAGACCAATTTAAAATAAATAACTAATTAATTGGTGGCTGTTTTTAGAGACTATACATTCGGACACAACAGGTAAGTCAGATTCCTACAAACCAAACTATTTTAAGTCTGATTAGTCCGCGAACAGAATGCACAATGAACAGATAGAGTTCTAATTATGTTGTCTGTCAGATGTGAAATGGCTGTACACCTAACTAATCGAAACATAAAAATAGAATCATTTGTGTGGATGAGGACAGTATGGAATTTTTCTCAAACTTATCACGTGAAATCTACCCCTCCCTTAGTTCCTCTGAATGTCACTTGACGTCAGCGTCCCTGAGCTATCCAGAGAGCAGTGCATGACTAAAGGTGTGCATGGCCCACCCCTGTGCCCCGAGTAGCTGCTGAGCCGGCCAGCCTTGCACTGTGTTTATCCTCGTGTGCACGAGCCTTACAACCATTGGCTGATTCAG